GTTCTGTCACTTTTACGGCTGGGATCTTTCATTTCACGGTAGTCACATTTACGCTTCTAAACTTTTCTCTGCACTGCAATGTTCCTGGTGTACTCCTTCGTCCCTAGCGCTACCTTCGCTAACACTTAGCTATTTACACCCACTCGGGTGCACCATCGAGCTCAAACCGACCGCATCCGCAAACCGGGTTGAGACGGGTCGGACCATAGATCCATGACTCCAGCCCGTGGAAACGGCCCTAATGTCCGCAAATGTCCATTTCTTGCAGATTGCTCCTCATCTGAACCGAGTCAGAGTCCTCAAAATCATAATTACTGTCATAACAAGTATACAAGGGCTCATAAATAAAAGCCCTTGACTTGTATTGTCCATCACTGAATGACAAATATTTGTTTAAAACGTCCGTATACAACGTTATGGCACAAATGCATATCAACAAAGCCCAATGACACCTATGTGTACGTCACTTCCGGTCTCGGCAATTATTATTATTGATAGAAACTGCTAAGGGTGAAACTATCTGTCAAGATGAGTTTTATTTAACACAAAAAAATATCACAATATACGAACAAAATAAGAACAAAAATGACCCTTTGCATTATACGGAAAAATTAGATGATTTAATGTGTGTTCATTTTGTGTGTGTGTGTGTGTGTGGGTGTGGGTGTAGGTGTAGGTGTAGGTGTGGGTGTGTGTCAGTGTGTGTGTGTGTGTAGGTCACTGTTATTGCTGGATATGATCCAAGAAGTGTTAGGACATTTAGTTGGTGTTTGTAACAGTGTGAGAACAGTGTTTTTTTTCATCAGGCCTTTTGTAACTGAAAACACACACGCACACATACACGTTTTTGTTACCTGGTGGGTCCCTTTGACAGGGCCGTTCAGAATGGGACCCATAGACATAATCTTTTTTTACTGGGACTACTTTAAGTAATACAAAACAGTCAATAGAAACCAAACAACTATTTTAAAGGAATTTTATTTTAGATTTTGTTTTCGAATTGCAGTGATTCTATTTTTGACATAGAATTTAATGCCACTCCATGTCCGATGTCTAAGGTCATCTGGTGAGGCATTAATGCAGGCCAGGCAGTGAGACTTCCCAGGGACCTTTCCAGTCTGTATGAAAGGTGTCATGGTCTTCTCCACAGCCTTCACCTCAGATGCAGACCATGGCTTTCTTACACGTTCTAGGGAGAGAAATAAAAATATATTAGCAATATACACTCCCAGGGTTAGGACCAAGCAGCCTGGCTGTAATCCCCCACCTGGTACACTTACCAGAAGGGGCACTGCCACTACCATGGGGTGCATCTGGATGAATGGTTGAAGGTTCTCCGCTTGAAGTTTCTTTTAGCCCGTCCGTTTGTGAGAGGATCTCTACTGCTCTCCCTGTCGCACAGAAAATAAAAATACAAGTGGCCTTTAGGGGAAAAAAATCATACATATTTTAATAATATCAAGAATTACCTTCAGGCTCAATTTGTATCTGGTCGAGGCTCTTTCCTTCGAATTCCGTCACTCTTCCCTGCTCCATGGCCATCAACACTTTGCTGATTTTGGCCAGCTCCAGTGTCCCCTCTGGTAGTCTGTAATATTGCCTGTGGATGCGAATGTCATGGCCGAGGAAGTTGGCAAGTATGTCCATCTCATTCTCTTTCATATTGAGAACTGTAGACATAGTAGCTATGTGCTTTCTAAGTTTGGTTGAGGATAGCATCTCTGGATGCACCGCACCACATTCTTTGGCTACCTGGCGTAGGGAGTCTGATCCCCTGATGTGGGTGTCTGCGCCCGGGCGGGAAAAGAAGTATGGGTTATGGTCAGAGATGGAACAGGCCCTTCTGTTCTCCACCAGCACCTCCATCGAAGCAATCATTTCAGGAGTCAAAAGAACCGGCACTTTCCGACTTCTTTTCCCTTTAATTTCAATGCGTTGAAAATGCTGACACAGCTTTTTCTCAAGTTGGGACAGTCCCAGAGCAATGTCAGAATGGATCCCAGTCTTACTTCTTAAGGTAAAGGCTGTCAGTGGCATCTTTGAAACCTCACCTTCCCTTCTTCGATTGAAAATGATGACCTCACAAAGAGTCAAAACTGCCAGTTTAGACCAATGCTTAGACGTTGGCTCACTTATTAGGGTTTGCACATATTCAGGTCGACATACCTCAATATGTGCATGCATGGCTCTAACGTCCTCAGTCAGAGGGAGCAGGTCCGGAGTGTTCCACTTGGCTTGCCGGAGGGTCTGTAGGGCAGCAGAAGAAACACAGACGTCCCACCTCTTCTCAAAAAGCAGCCGGCTTCGTTGGAGGTTTTTAATAAATAGTTCATCAACACAATGCTCCATTTTTGAGTCACATTCAAGAATATCTGCTAGCTTTCTGAGGCTATGGCCGAGTTTGAGGGCCAAGGATGGAGTCTTGTATTGATTTGTTTCCTCATCATATCCAGCCACAGACCTGACTGCATCAATCACATGGTTAAAGTTGGAAGGAATA